ATTAAATAAACAGTTTAAAAATACATGTATTTGGAAATAATTACACAACGATCCTGTCGATCTACATCAACAGCATTTATTAAAAATACATTATAGTATATAAAATTACTAAATAAGCCTTTCGGTTTGATGAATGTCCGTATGGCGGCATTACAAATGCTTGAAGACGACTATTGAAGCTTCAAATAAAAATCACTGTTAGTAAATAAGTATACAAAATGCAGTTTAATTATTTAAGAAATGCGTTATTTATGTTTATATTAATATGCTCTTTTCTGCATTTTAGATAGTTTTTTCTGATGTTTTTTCTAGAAACTAAATGTCAAGTGATGTAAATACACTACTATCACACCATCAGCGCCAAGAATAAAAGGGAACTTTTGCGCCAATATCATTAATGGCAGAAAGACCCTTATCAATGTTTTTATTGCGGATATTGTTAAAAAGGCATTGTCAACGGTATTTTTTTTTCTATTCTAAATTAACAGTAGCGATAAATCTATGGATAAGGGAAGATGTACGGCAATCGCTTCAAATCTATGTGGTGAATAAAGCGTATTATTAGTTTACATACATTTCTGTATGATCAGTATCGAAAAATCTATTGATGAAGGTGGATGCATGCGCATTCGTTGTTAGATTTATATGAGTTTTTTAAGCAAAAATATTTTTATATAAAATTTAATAAAAAAGCATTTTATGAATATTGAAAAATTTAATTTTAATTTATAATTATAAAATATGTTTTTAAATAAATTAAAATGTATTAAAGTATTTAAAAATATCAGTTAAGTTTGATTGAAATAAATACTAGTTGTTTACGTAACTAATTATTGTTATGAAATGTAGTAGACTTAACTATTTATTTCGAATGAAAGTCAGAATATCATCTGTTGAGGACCTGCTAATGTTAGAAGAGGTCTTACTGAAGATGTATTTTTTATTTAAAATACATTTATATAATACGCAACATGCACTAATGATTAAACTTACATATTTCATTCTATTACGAAAACGGTATATATATAGAATTGTGGATTACCTGCAATCTATTCAACCTAATAACACTACTCAATGCTATAAAGTTCAATAGATCTTTGGATACATCTCGTTGAAGTGGCTAGGTTTCTCTACCTTGGGCGAAGTTAGCTTCAATTAAAATTCCACCCATTCTTAATGCACTATTGTTCGCAAACAATCCTCTCTATTTTCACACTTTCTTTATCCAACCATATCCTTACCTATGCATTCGTATTTGTAATTTCTTTCATATTATCTGATATATAGATCTCCGCGGGTTATTATTAAATGCTTGATTAAATGCCATGCTTTGTGATTACTTAGGTCATATTTTCATGTGTCTCTCTCTCAGTGCACTACTATATACAGCATTTCTTCCGGTGAACAAAAGTATACATAATGCCTGCGGATATTTTTTAAAAAGATTAATGCTCGATTAAACTACCAATCTAACATTTATATTTATCAATCGGGTAGTTGTGACCCAAAAAACATCAGAGGAGTTAGATAGGCTTCGCTCTCTCCTATAGAGGACACTTTATCTAAACGTATAGCTTCAATTGGTACTGGCAATGGAGCGTTTATTGTGGTGCCTTACGAAACGTGTGTTAAGATCACTCTTCCCGGCAGGTAAATAGATTAAAAACACGACCGTGTTACTGTTTAATGTATTCTATACAATTGAACCACAATAGGAGTAGTAAACGACTGTGGTTTAATTATGCCTTTATGAGTACACCAATTCGCTTCATACTATTAGTAGTGGATTTGCTTATATGTTTAATTGTAGAATAGGTTAAATTAGACCGATTATATCATTTAACTTAGATGTATGATTGAGTAAACAATGATTTAAGTTTAAATTTGTTTTCTACAAAAATAAAAATAAAAATTGTTGTTTTGTATTTAATATTTGTTAGAAATTGAATTATTAATAAAATTTGAAATAAAAATTTTTTGCATGATTTAAACAAAAATATAAATTTACAATACATAGTAATTAGGCTTTACTTTTCTAATAATAAATCAAGATGGCGTATTATGAGTTTGATGCATATGATGAGATGACAGCAAAATCCTTAAATAAATCTATAGAAAGACCTCCTACTTTTTTAGAGTTACCCAACGAACTACTTTTAGAATCGGTTAGTACCGTGAATGTTTGGCATTACGATCGTATACGACGTACCTCGACACGATTAAGTAATATCGTCGACACAGTGCTTTGGGACCAATATACAAATTTTTTAAGAATTACACGTGGAACTGTAACTAGTATGCGTAAGAAAATCGCTGTTGAAATTTTACACCAATCAATAGATATATTAATTCGAGCCGGATATCTGCCTTCATTTTCTGGTACTATACTTCATCACTGGCGTGCCCATCAGAGTGATACTTATTTACCTTTGGATATTAAACCACAGGAAGTTGAGATAATTCTAAAAAGGTATTACTTACAAATCATTCGTCTAGATAATCCGAGTGACGACCATATGGCTGCTATATTATTTGGATTGACTTGGTTAAATCAAGTGAAGTTATTTAAAAATAAAAAGATCATTAGTAATATTATTTCCGATAACAAATGGTGTTGCTCTGTTGAAGTTGAAGGTGTTTTTATTGGAAAATCTAAACAAGACAAAGGTGAACCGAGCTTTGCTGCAATTGGCGTCGCTATTGCAGTAGTATTGATAGCATCTATAGCTGGTTATTCAACTAAGAGATTATTCGAATGTGAAGATGTACTTTATTTATGCGGTCACAATATGGCTCCGCAACGTTCACGTCCACCCAAAATCACCTTCGTTTTTAAAGTTTCCGCATCTAATAGTATTTGCAAATATTTCTCTTGCTTTTTTTCTGGAGATTTGGAGATTTTGGGAACACTTCCAAAGGAATTACTAAATGATCCATTCACATTTAGTTTCGCATTATATTGTCCCGAAAGTTGTAAATTGGGCTTTAGTCAAAACATGAACGTTGTATGTAAGGTAAGAAATTATATATCGTTTATATCGTCAAATGACAAAAACATTTTATTTAAAATGTGTAAGTATACGAAATATAGAATATATATTTAGTATGTCTTTCCAAATTCAAATCTTCGACAATTCTAATTCACTTGTAATCCGGACAAAATAAGAAACTTCAAAATTGTATTATATACCATATAGTTCAGATCAACCACTGATTCGCTAATCCAAATCATCTGATATAGACACGTCTGTTCGTTAGTCAAGTGAATAAATAAAATAAATCACATTTATAGGTTATGTGCATACACATGTATGGGTCAGTCTTTTACAAGCGGAAGGGTTTTTGAACTCTTCTCCTTAGATATTGTTGACAGTTTTTTATACGCATTTTTTTTAATATCTATTTTTTTTCATATCTATTTTAATTTACTTTATTAAAAATTTCAATTTAAAATTTTTTCAGCACAAGCCAACGGTTCCACAATATATTAAGGATATGGATTGCAGTGAGAATGTTTTTTAGCTGAATTTTTATTGTTAACTAAATCAATGGAAAAAACGAAAGCCAACTTAAAAACAAAAATTTGTCGTGAAAAACACTTCAAGTAATTTTTAGATAATCTATAAATATTTTTTAAAGAAATTATAAGTTATATTTCAAAATGTCGTTTGTTGTTAATTATGGTAAAAAAGGATACATGAGTACATATTTTTATTTTTTGCACAAAGATTACCACATGATCTCAAGATATAATATTATTTTGCACCACATTGCAAATACTATTAAGAAAATGGATAGTTCACTGCGACCTAAAAGATCTATTCTGCCCCCTAGTCGGATTAGAGTGTTTTTCCAAGTCCGATTTCTTTAATGAAAGAAAGATAGAGCCTATCTTTCTTAGTCTTGAATCTTTATGATTCATGAAACACCCTCCTAGGTGTTTCTTCCGCTTGTGCATCAGTGTTGGGCACTCCCCAAGCAAGTGGTATGCAGTTTCTCTCTTTTCTCTACAGTATCTGCAGTCTGAGTTAGATTGCGTTGCTAACTTCATTAAGTGGTTATGCAATCTATATGGACCGATCAAAAATCCCGTAATAATTCATAGGTTATTTTTTGATTTGATCTGAAGACTAAAAAATTTGATACCAATATTACAAATAGTTTATGAGATTTACTCATTTGATTAATATCGTATACACCCAGGTGTGTACATATAAGTTAGGTTAACCCGGTGCTCGTAATATCGTGGTCGAGAGCTTAAATGTAAGCCCGTAATAATAGACTTAATCTTTATGTAGTTTTTATTGTAAGCATTTTTGCACATTGAAGTGAAACGATTTCAGAAACAGAAAAATTGTTTTTTAAAAGACTAACTAAGAAAGACTAAGACTAGGACTAAGACTCAGACTTACGCTAAGACACTAAAATCTTACTTTTTCGATAAAGTTTCAACATTCACAGGAGTGGAAAAGCGACAGTAATAACAAAAAGTTCAACAATAATTTTGGTGCCAAATACCGTGGGCATATAAAAACATCGAGAGCTTCAAAAGCTAATGAAATTGCTATGGTATCTAAACTTTTAAAAATATATTCAAATCTGACTTTCGTTATTGGGTCAAAATTATTTATTGTGCTCAACATTTTACGTTTTTAACTAAAACACAAAATCACGATTTTATAATATTTTTAAATGTACAATCTTTATTTATTTTACGACTAGATCCAAAGAAGTTTTTAATATAAACAATTAAAAAATAAAAATATATTAAATAATTAAAAAATATATCAAATATATAATTAAGGTTTACATATGTATATAGTTATATATAATGTGATTCTAATGAAAGCTGCTCATATTTTTAAGCTACAGCCTTACATAGCTCTCTGGACTATGAATATTGAGCTCGAATAGATTGAAACAGGAGCTGTTTTTAAGTTTAAAGATATATCAATTTACATATAAACCTATACATATATTCATGTATTTATATTTACATATAAACATATATACATATTTATATGTATCTACAAATATATAAATATTTATATATATATATTCACATGTAAGTTTATATATATATATATATATATATATTAGTTGTTTGTTGATTTAATCATTAAAAATAAATAAAAATACTTTAAGTTTTTATTTATCTTTTTAAAATATTAAAAAATAATTAAGAAAATAAAATCGAAAAAAAAATATTTACATCAGACATTTTCAATACTTTTTGTTCTTCATTTTGTTTTGTAAATAATGTATGTTCTTTTTTGCTGGATTATATAAATCAAAATATAATAATATATATGTGTAAGTGCAAAATGAAAAAAAAAAATTATTTTAAACTTATTGTTAAATAATAGATATTAAATAATCATTAGGAAGTTACAATAGTTCTAGTTTCAATGCTATATATAATTAAGAATACTACACTGAAAATATGTGCTCTGTAAGTTGATTTTTTGTTAAACATACACATAAATTCATTTATTAATTTTTCATAATTTTTTCTGTTAATTAATTAATGATAATTACATTCCAAAATTCTAACAATTTTTTTTTTTAATTTTCATTTTATGCTGATATATATAAGAAAGACATTTAAAAACAAACTAAGTTAACTTGAGTACATATTTTATATGATTTCTAATACATAATATTTGTTCGAAGCCAAGAGGTTTATTCGCAATCGTCGTAATTAAAAGCCTTAAGAACATTCCGGTGAGGTGCTCCATTTATGCAGGATTTTATTTATTTCTTTTTGCCAAGTGTGTCACGCCATTCATTGTACTTGTCCATTTCTTCATGTAATTGCAATGCCTCAATACAAGCATTAAAGAAAGGTGACCCGAAACAGTCTTGCCTATTAGAAATAACCAAAAAAAAAATTAATTAATTTGTTATTATGAAAAAATCATAAATTTCAAATTTCAAAAATTCAAAAATTTCAAAAACTTTTATGTTAATAATTATAGTAATATTATATAAAAAATTTTATATTAATATTTAAAAATCTTGGTTTAACTTCAAAATTAATTATATAAGTCCAAACCATTAAAATGAGGATATCTGTTTAAAAACAGTTCCATATATATAAATGTGTATATATTATAATAGATAAAATTAAATTTAATGAAAAATGTTATTAAAAAACACAACAAAAGCGTGTTCCCATGAAGGGCTTTCATATTTTATAAACCATTATTTAAGGATAAATATAATAAATAATATATATGTATATATACATACAAACTATAATACTTTCAATAGTTCATAGAAAATATATATCAAAAATAGGACGAAGGGTCTAGTAGTCCAGTTCCGTATTCTTAGTTAACTTTAAAATTAATTTTAGTGTGTTAACTCACAAATAAATAAATAAATAAATAAATAATTATATCAAAAATATTTTAACAGTACCTTTACAAAGTTTAGGTAAAATTGTAATTATTACAAATATTTTTAAAACATTTCTATTATGTCAATATCGACTAAGAGTATATAAAAAAATATATGCAATATATATATACTATAAACTATATAAACAGAAAAATATTAAAATAATTGAAATAACGGAAAATCGTTGATTATACCCAGTGATAAGATGTCTGTTGTCCTGTCAGTACAATCAACTAATTAGTCATATAGAGTGTTCAACTTATTAGTCATATAGAGTGTTAGTTAACCTAATTTATTTATTATTTATTTATTTATTAAATTTCTACGTATTCCGACATTCAAAGAAGAAATATCTCGAATTATAAAGAACTATTGCTCATAAAAACTATTGCTCATATATGTAACCACACCCACTAGTTACATATCTACTGTCCTCTTTCAACAATTTTAGAAGAAAAACTTTGAGAGACGTCTTAGATATGTGTGACCAACACAAATTTTTTTTTTTTGAGTATATATGAATATGTCACTGAGCATAGTCCATACACGCCTTTCTTTTTTTAACTCGTAGTAAATATTAATTATTGTCATTCATACTGGATAGATTGTATCCATTTATGGTTTCATAAAATAAAAAAAATAATATTTAAACAAAAATTTTAAATATACAATAATTAAAAATTGGTTTATAAATGTTATACAAAAAATAAACACGCTTAATTAAAAAAAAAATTTGTTTTAGTAAAAAATTTTTTCTACATAAATTAATTTTTCACAAAAAAAGATATATAAAAATTTGTGTGCAAAAATTTTTAAGATCGAAACTCTTTAAACGGTTTCGATGTTAACTATAATTATTTTATAGTTTTATATATTATACAACTAATTTTTTAAATTTATTTTTTCTATATACGTTTATCTATATACAGTTCATAAGCGACTTTAATAAAGATAGGTAAGTGAAAGATATGGGCTTAAGTCAACTGTATTAAATAATTTATATATCAAAAATCAAAAAATATTTAATTTAAGAAAAAAAACAAAACTAATTTAATTAATTAAAAATTAAATAAAAAAACGTACCAATTAAATAAAAACTTGATATCCTTGAAAAATAAATAAGAAATGTAGGCGTTATATATGTTGATGCACTTTATTGGTCCTTTGAGTTGGTTAAAGCTGCTGCCAGTTTATAATTTATATGATATATGTATATAAAATATTTATGATAAATATATGTATAAACATTTCAATTATAGCTGCTCTGCATTAAATAGTCGTTGTGGTTGTAGTGAAAATAATATTTTTTATATATTTAAGTATATATATAATATTTATTTTGAGTTGTAGTGTTTATATAAATTATGCGGGGACTATCACAATATTTTCAGTATATTTGCCAGCAAATTTTCCTTCATTTTTGTCGTTTATGTATATATATATATATATGTCGTATATATAGTTTTAACATTTTAATAATCATTAGCTGCCTTATACATTTTAAATGTATATACAATTTTTTTAAATTTTTTTTTTGTGTATTTTTCACAAATTGCAAGTGTTTCTTTTTATAAATATAATAAGTTAAAAATATAAATACAATCTTTAGTAATGTTGTATATTTATATATATATATAAAGTTCCTATTACGTATATAAGTTGTTTAAAAACAATTTTAAAATGTTTTGCTTCTATTTTAATAAATACAAAATTCAATACTTTATCTTTTTATTAATACCCGAGCAACTAAAAGTTGTTTTAAATAAAATAATATTTTATACAAATGAAAAATATTTTTTAATCAAAAATATTTGAAGAAATTAAGCAAATTATATATATTCTTTTATAAAATAATTAAACTTAAAAATATGCGCTGCTAATTACACTTCATTATATATGCTAAATTATTATTCAGAAAAACCAAAATTATCAAAGTAGACCTATTTTGATATAGATTTGTTTTTTTAGTGATAATATTAATTAATTAATATAAAAAATTTAATACGAAATTAGTATTAAAATTTAACTTCATTTAAAATAAAATTTAATTAAGCATAAATTGAAATTAAATTAAATTTATGTATTATACTTCCTTTTATTTTATAATTTTATAAAGTGTTAATAAAAATTTTAAGGGGCTCAATATACAATAGAAAAGTCAATATTTAAGTTATAACCAAAATAGGACGATTAATGGTTTGTTTATATATTGCAGCGATATATT